ACTGAGATTAGTAGTAAATAAAATGTTAACTCATGATCTGTAAGGGGAAGAGGGAACACGAGTGCTTTAAAGCGTGCAGTGCTCGGTGAGGGGAGATCAGCCAGATGTGCTGGGGAGTGTGCTGGGGACACAGCAGGCTTCAGGCAGCCAGGGCTCACGGTTTTGGCCACCACTGTGGTTCTTAGATACTGAAAGGGCTCCACATAAATGCAACCAACAAGAGCCAAACTGTCCTTACTGCACCTTCACATCTTGCCCACTGCTCACAGGTACGGGAGTATGGGCAGAAGCACCTCTTCTCAGGGGTGGGCTCAGCTGTTTGAAAGGTGTGTGGCCTCTGGACTGGAGTAAGCCTGTAGACACCATGGCTGTGCTGCTTTGGCCTGCAGCCATAAGTGGTGCTGCACCCAGAGAGGGTTGGGGGTTTTTCAGGGTTATTAAAAACTCTGTGTGTGCATCACTGGTGGAGTTAGGCTGCAGTTAGGCCAGCTAAGCATCAAAGGCTAGACCTGTCACTCCTAGTACTTCCACCCTGTGCAGATTTTAATGCCTACTACTTTCTGCAAGCAGTAGCTTTATTTCTTTTTATTCTCTCTCTCTAGTGATGGCTACACTGCAGTTACCAGCCACCAACCTGGCCAACTTGGCAAACTTACCACCAGGCACCAAACTGTACCTCACCACCAACAGCAAGAATCCTTCTGGGAAAGGAAAACTGCTTCTGATACCCCAAGGAGCCATACTGCGAGCCACAAATAATGCTAGTTAGTCTTGCAGGGAAATCTAATGAGTTACATAATGTAATCACTGCATAATTAATGTTTGGCATTTTTGCTGTAAAGCATCCTGGTTTCTTTGTTCACAACAACACAGCATGTGGTGCTTTGTAAGAGTGAGACCTCACCCGTGTCTTCTGGTTCTGATGAAATTGCTTTCCTTTCAGTGCTCTCCTTGTCCTTCTGTGCTGAGAGCAGACTGTAATTTTTCCTCAAAACTCAGCAAAGGGTTTTCTGTAACTACTCCTTGTGATCTGTAGGAAGAGACAACTGCATCTTCATGCTGTAGAACTGGGATGGATTTGAATGGAGTAGTGAAAGCTGTTAATAAGTAATGGAACAACACTGGAGAAACCAGAAACATACAAAACTAACTTTGAAAAGGGCAAGATACTGTATCTATAGTGAGGGAAACATCATTTTGAATACTGATACAAGGTTTGGCCCCATGCTGTTGGGACCAGTAGAAACACTTCTTTTGTTAATGGGCTTGTGAATCAAACTTGCTGTGAAATACTTGGGGAATAACATTGCTAAAACAGTTCTAAAGGGCAATACTTTCTTTATAGTGTGCTGTTGCTCTAGGCAAAGAAACTAGAAGTTTGGGACTGTGCAGATGAAGTTTTGATGTGAGCCTTCTCCAGAATGCTCCTTTTGAGGCTGGCAGTTGGACTGACTGTAAACATTTTGATCCTGGTTGTGGTACTGGCAGTAAGGAAAAGATATTATTCAGCTTAATATATAAGGTGGTAAATACCAGCAGCACAGCAACACAGCACATGTCACTGAAGAAGTAGATCCTCTTCCTGAAGGTATTTTTGGGCTGTAGAATTGTTGATGGGAGCCCAGTTGCTTTGAGATTTAGAGGCAGCTGAGGCAGTCCAACTCTGGCAAGGAGATAATCTCACAGATGTTGAGGAAGAGCAAATACTTGTGATTTTTATGGTGAAGCCATAAATTGGTTTTTACCCTTGTTTCTTAATGAGAAACTGGAAAAAAAAAAAGTCAGCTCGGGTTGTTCCTCCTGGAGGCAGAGCAGTATCAGTGTTCACTGCCCATGACCACTGCTTGGTACCTGTGATCTAATACTCTGTTAACTAAATTACATTGGAATGGTCAGCAGAAGTAAAGCTGAGAAGTCATTGAGATTCAGAGTGTTTCTAGGGCTTTTGCTGCAGATTCATAACCTGCAAAAGACCAGTGAGAAGACTGCTCATCTGTTGGACAGCATTTTCGTTTGACAGAAAATTCAAGACAGCCTTAAATGAGCTTTGCTTGCCCACCAGTCCTCCTTATTGCCCCCCAGCTCCTTTTGTTCATGGTGATTGCTGAGCTGTAGGAGACCACAGCAGCACATCTGAGCTGTGCTGTGCTGGGTAGCAGTGTTACTCAGCTGCAAAACGTGGCAGCAAATGTCTTGCAAAGTGCTTTCAATTACATGTATATACAGGGATGCTTTAGCAGCTGACAGTGTCTCGTCAAGCCTTTTGGGTGAAGCCTTTTCTTCTGGTTACAGGTCTCCAATCTGGTTCTTCTACAAATAGTGGAGGAGGAGGAGGAGGAGGAACCCAAAGCACAAGCAGTAATTTGTCACAGCACCTCACCTATACGTCCTACATCCTGAAGCAGACACCCCAGGTCAGTGGCATAAGCATCTTAGCTGCAGCAGTTTGGCATTTCAGGCTGCTGTGGTGTTAGGTGGATGTCCTGTGGTTCTGTAGTGCATGAAATGTTCTTGGAGTAGGGGATCTATATCCCTTCCAACAACCCTCACATCCCTTCCCTCTGCCAGGCACCTGATTTACCACTCCCTGTTGCCACTGGCACATCTCCTTGCAGGCTGAGCAAGCAGCAGTGGGTAAGGCCAGGGTCACAGGGTGGAAGAGAGGCAGTGTGGCCAAAGTGCCTGGTGGCAGGGCCACAGGGGCCACCAGAGCAAGGGGAGGCAACAAATGGAGATGATGCTGGAAGAGCTCTTAGGCCGTGAGAGACGCAAGAGCTGGAGGAAAGCATCGCGTGAGAGAGAGGAAAGGAGAGTTACTGGAGTGAAAGAGCAAGGCTGAGTGAGAAAGCAAGATGAGGAGACAGCAGATGGTGTGAGGGGTCTGTGTGCATGGTGGGTGAGTGAAGCCCCTGAGGGGCAGCAGCTGAGCACTGCTGTGAAGCAGGAAGGGTGGCGAGGTCCCGGGTGCTGGGTTGTTAGGGTGCACCCCTCCCAGCTGTCACAGTGATTTCTGCACACTGAGCTCTGCATGTGGAGCCTTTGTGGCAGGACTGAATACATCCTGAAGTGAGACAGTGACAGGATGTCTCCAGTTCTCTCTGGTTTTGCCTAGCCCAGCAGTGGCCTCTCTGATGTTGCGTGCTAAGTAGGATTTGTCACAAAGAGTAAACCCGAAAACCATAAAGTGTTTTAAATTGTACTGGATGCCTCTGACAAGACAGGAAATTGATTGTGGCTTTTTCACCCCTTCCCTTGAATCAGAAAGTACTCTTCTGCACCAAGAGGAGAAGGCTGTGGCAAGCTCCTAGTGCAGAAGCATCCACTGCAATTAGCAGTGCTTTGTTTTAGAAGGTGAAATGTTGCCCTGTAGCTACCAGATTTTATCCTGTGTTGACTCCTAGATTTCTGTTGATTCCTAACTGTGTTTCAAAGTACTGACCTCCCTAACTTACTCCTGGAGCAGGGCACCTTTTTGGTTGGCCAACCCTCTCCTCAGAGTTCTGGGAAGCAGCTGACTCCAGCCTCAGTTGTTCAGGGCAGTGTAGGAGTTGGAGCATCTTCCACACAAGGACAAGCACTGAAAGTGATAACGGGACAGAAAACAGCTCTCTTTACACAGGTAACATGCAGCTGATGTATTTCTCTCTTGCCAGTCAGCATTTTGTGGGGTAAACTGGAGGAACCACAGCCACACGTTGTGAGAGCTTCTCCTTTTGCAGTTGTTTGGGTTCTGTGCAATTAGGATGCTGGCTGCACTACGATGAGGAAAGCACAGAGAGACCTTCTTTCATCTTCTTTCATATGCAGATACTGGAGCACAGCTCTTCTGGCTTTGTTTCTGTTCCCTGGTTGCTGGTTTGTGAATGTGCTCTGGGATTTCTTAGTGAAATGGAATTGGAGAAGTGCAGTCAGGTGCAAAAATGTGCTTAAATATTTGAACCTTAGAAATGGGTCACCTGCTAAAGCTCTTAAATATTTTGGGTTTGGTAATCCTCAAAGGTCCTTTTAAAAACTATCAGGTGATCCCTATGAAATTCAAACTCCCTGACACTACTTGTAGTTGACCATCCAAAATTCAAGACTGATGGGCATATTTTTGCCAAGCCAGCAGTATGAAGTGAATTTCTGAGGTGATAATTTTGTTCCACCTATTATTGCCACAATTTGCCTTGCTCAAAAGTATGTTGAAAATATTTTTGAGTAATCTAAAGCATTTGTCTTGTTTGTTTTGTTGTTGTTGTGGTTTGTGTTTGTTGGGCTTTTTTAAGTAATTTTTTAAAAATCCAAACAAATTTACCTTTTCCCTTCCTCTGAATTCTTTTTGACAGGCTGCACCCGGGGGACAGACGTCGCTGGTGAAAATATCAGATGGGTCTCTGAAGTCAGTGCCTGCCTCATCCCAGCTCTCCAAACCTGGCACCACTGTGCTGAGGGTGTCAGGAGGTGTTATCACCACGGCTGCTGCTCCTGCCATGGCCCTTCCCACTAACGGGGTGGCCCAGGTCAGAAACAACACTGCCAGTGTTCTGTAATACAACACTTGCACTCTAGCCACTGTAATCCCCCTCCTGCTTTCTTCTCCTACTGGTACTTTCTTCTCAGTCAGCCTTGCTGGTGGGTCTGCTCTTGCTTGTGTACCAGCACAGTGCACACAACTCCTTTTCTGCTGGGTTGTTTGCTGTTCAGCATGAAGTAATGTCTGTCAAGAAAAAGGGGAGACAGAATCTGAAACTTGCACTTTCTTGCTTTTCATGCTGTTAAAATTCAGGGAGGCAGGGAAGGCTTTACCTGAAACAGCTTTTGCAGCCATACAGATCAATTTTTTTTGGCCTACACAGCTTTCAAACCCCAAGTCTGCTGCTGGCACAAAAATGTGCAGAAGAATGTGAAATGCCTGAAGCTGTGGATCCAGCAGGCCAGTGAAAGCCAGCAGTGACTAGAATGTAGGTTGCTCCTTTGAGAGCACAGAGTCTCCACAGTGCTTAGTGCCCAGTCTGCTTTCAGCCCATCTCAGAGGCTGGCAGTGGCCAGAGTTGGTGGCCCTTTGGTCCTGTGTTCAGAGGATGTCACTCCTCTCCACCTGGGAGGAGAGCACAGCCTTGGCACAAGGTGCTTCAGCATAGAGTGAGGCTGGAAACAAACCATCTGCATTCCTGGGGTGAACACTCGTGTGTGTGCATGCAGCCATGGATCCAGCTGATGCATGCTGCCTGCCTGGAGGGAGGCTGGAGTTCATGGGCTGGGGAGAAGGCAGCAGAAAGGAGAGTGTATCATTCACTGTGAGAGGTCCCCCAGCCTCTCTGCTTCTGCCTGTGGGAGGCAGAGGTTAAGTGAGTGGAGGGTTGGTGCCATGCTGCACTCAGAGGGCTGAATGCTGACACACACAGCACACAGAGGTGGAGATGTCAACATTTGCATTAAGTGCTGCTCACTGGGTTTGCTGCTCTCAGTGAAGCTGTAGGGATAGGAATTTTCCATCCAGCCTCTTTATCCCAAACTTTTTTTGCCATTTGTCTACAAATACCTCTGGACTCCTGAGCAGCAGGGAAACATGAAACATTGCTGGGTCCAGTTTCTCATCTGAAGGGTGTACCTGCTTGTTGCAGTTAAGGGACCTGGATCCAGATGCTATCAAAGCAGTTTTCCTAGCAGCTTCTGTGTGCATGGTTTTGCTTTCTTCTCCTTGAAACCCTTCATTCTATATGTACCATCATTGTGTATGGGCTTTTGGATATGTGCTTGAGAACCTCTTGCTTCTTCATGACTGATAAGTGTTTTGTTTTGCTGCTTCTAGATATTACCCTGTTATGCTTATTGTTGAATCACCTATGACATGAAAAAGAATTTGTTATCCCTTTCTGTCTATTTTGTGCAGCAAATAGACAATGCAGGTTCCAGTTCCTCATCTTCTGGAACTGCTGCAGCAAAGACACCTGGACAGCAACACCAAATCTGTGTAAGCCAGAGCCAGTCGGCCTCGTCAGTGGTGAACAAGACTGCCACTTCCACTGTTGTAAGTGTTGCTTCCCTGATGACTACAGCAACGCCTGTGACTGGAAAAGCTGCAGTGTCAGGTATTGAACTCCCTTCGTGCCTTTCCTGTAGAAAGGCAGAATCCAGATGTGAATTCTTTAGATGTCATCACTGCAAGTGAACGTATAAAAGAATAGGGTCGCCTGCAGTTGTGAATGTGTGAAAGTCTTTCTAAAGCCTATCTTATTAACATCACTTCTGGCTTAGCCAAAGCAATGTCTGAACAACCTGGCATCCTATCACATCAGGGCAACTGACTGCACCTGTTCTAAATAATAGCACAGCTTGCCCATTGGTGTTGGAGAGGGATTGCAGTTTTCATGCCAGGTCCTCATCAGAAGGTGCATTCTGCCTGTGCAAGAGCACAGTGCACCACTGAATGCTGAAAAAAACAAGGTACCAGCAGCACTACAGACCTGGTTAGTTTGTGAAAGTGAAACTCCACTGAATTCAGAGAAGCTGCACTGAGCAGAATTTGGCTCTTGAGGTTTTGCATCTGCTCTGTTTGGCTTGGCAAGGAGAGAGATGTTGGTTAAGGGGAGCTGGAGGCTTTGAAGTCAAAATCTATTCAGTACAGTGAGGTAGGCTGGATCTGGAATGCCTCAAACTGGTAAAAATGAGGTAATAAAGTTGGATTGCCCTTATGTAGAGGGGAGTTTTATTGTCTTCCAGTATTTCTTCTCTCTTGAAGAGCAAATACAGCATATTTAATTTGAGTGTTACAGGTTAAAATCAGATCTTTTCATTTTGACTAATTCACCTGCTGGCACGATCTGTTCACTTGAAGTGGCTTCTGACTAAGTGGAAGCAGCATAAATACAGAAAAGAGAAAATAAGTGACACTGAGCTCATCTGACAGTGTCTTTGTAAAGCAGCTCTTCTCACTTCCTGTGTACACAGTCTTCCAAACTCCTCCTTTCTCGTCACTCTGTTTTTCCCAGAGCTTGGAAGTAAACAACATACACTGCTAAGACTGCCACAGTTCTGTAAGCAGTTGAGTATTTTTCTCTTTGCAAACGAAGCAGCAAGACTTTTTTTTACAGGAAGTATGCTGTATGCTATCCAGATGGATATCTAATAGCTTTTGGACTAAAACTCCCATTGAGCTTTGAGAATGTTACCTAGATCTTGTTTTGTTTTTTGTAACCTGAGGCACTGGTTTCATCATGAAAAACCTTCTTCAAGAATCCCAAAAGAAGCCATTGCTATAAAAAACATATTTTGATGTAAGAAAACAAAACCAAACCAAAAATCCAAACTGTTTAAATTTCTGTAGATTTGTATTTTTAAAGGCAACTTTTCAAAAAGAATCTCAGATTTTCCCCTTGTTTTGCAACACACAGTGTCTCCCACCCGTCAGGCTAATAGGGTTGAAAATGTTCCTTCTTACTTGCTTTGCTGTTTGGGGCCTGTGCTGTCCTGTCCTGACCCAGCTGGGCATCACACACGAATGACTTGGTCATATTAGGTTGGCTGTCTGGCCTGGAGGTGAAAGCCTAACTGACCAGTGCTGTGCATCTTTCAAACCCAAGAGACATCTCCACCAGATCTTGTATGTCTAGTACTTGGAAGGCAGCTGTGTGTCTTAATGGTAACACATTCTGAGGAGTAAAGGAAGCTTTATCTCAAAACAAATCGTGAGTATAAAATTACAGTCATGAAGCTAAGTCTACTATTGTCAGTATTCTAAAGTCAAAGCCTCTTACATTTCCATGATCTGAAGGAAAGTTAGCTATGGATTGAACACACATCAAAAATAGCTGGTTTACCAGAGGAAAGGATGGACATAGGCCCAAATCACAGTGCTGAAGTGCTGGGTGTGGTGGTTTGGGGTGTCATCACAGTGGAGGAGAGAGCTGCTGGAGAGGTGAGGAGTGCTGCTTGCCTGTGGTACTGTGGTGCAGCTTGGAGCCATGCTGGTAATGCTGGTGACCTCTGAACGTCCTGCTTGTTCTTCTAGCCTTGACTAGGATCAGTGATTTATCCAGTCCCCACTTTAACATGCCTGGTAGCTTGATCAGCCCTCTTGTGGATGCATTCAGTGCATGTTACAGAAAGACACAGGACTCTCAGTTCAGGTATGCCCTTCCTCAGGCTTGCCAAGCAGCCTTGGGCTTGTCACCCAATTAAAACATGGTTGATGGTGCTCTGCTGACTGCAGTGGGTGCTGCTGAGCTGAACTGCAGAGGTGTGAGCAGCACGTGGTACCTCAGGGAGAGTGGCTGTGTGAGTACAGCAGAGCTGTAGTTCACTGGCTTACCAGACCCTTCAGCACAAGGTCTTCTGACAAGAGTGTTTTACTCTGTGCTGAGCCTGCTTCAGTTGAGAGGTTTGTGTAACATCAACTTTTGCTTAAGATTACTTAGGCAATTAGGAAATTTTTACTAATGAGAGTGCAGTGCAGCATGTAATACTGCACACTCTGCTGCAGCACCCAGGATACTGGCAATCATTTGTGTCAGTAAAAACCTGTCTGGCAGTTCACTGAACTGTGGCTTGTAAAGAGGGTGGCAGTGCTGGCCTACATGCCATCCTGGTTCAGGCAGAAAGGGAGAGAGGTGGCTGGAGATAAACAAAATGGTGTGTTTTATTTAACGTTTTGTCTTCCCTTCTTCTTGCAGGGTTGCTAAAAATCCACTCAAATCAGTCTAGTCCACAGCAGGCTGTTCTGACAGTCCCCAGCCAGCTTAAACAGCTCGGTGTAAACACAGCTTCTGGAGGTGTTCAGACAATACTCATGCCTATGAACAAAGGTAAAGGGCAGAGGAGGATGACAGATGGTGTGTGGAAATCCCCTTTGACACAGGGTAGCTCCTGGCCACCGTTGGCATACGTGGTCCAGAGTTAGAGGTAGAAGAAAACATAGCAAGGAGATTCATCCCTAAACTTTGTACTGCAAAAACACTGTGTTGCTTCTGAACATGGTTATTTGTCTAAGTGTATGAAATTTGATTTTTTTTTCTTTGTTGTCCTTTTTTTCTCTTTTTACCTTTTTCCTCTGCAGTGATACAGTCACTTTCTACCAGCAAAGTTTCAGCTGTCTCAGCTGTCACAGCAGCAAGTACAGTTGTCCCTAGTCCCTCTACAGCATCCATCACTAAAGGTAACAAAGAATTTCTCAGTAAGATTAGTAAAAATATGCTGGTGCTGCTGTATGCAAGTGGCCTGGATATGAAAGTAGATCCTCTGAGTTCCTTCAACCTTGATTTAAACCCTCCTAACAATGGAAATAAAGTGGCACATGGGGGCCAGGAAATGAACAGTCACTTCCCCCTCAACAAATCCCAAAGCATGGGGAAGTACAAAGAGAAGTGAGGGTGTCCTAGAAGGCCACCATGAGTACCTTAAATGTTCATTGTTTAAATCCATATCTGCAGCAGTGCATAGAGCAGTATGTATTTAATCCCAGTCACTGCTGTGCTCAGAGTGGTGCCTGGGGTGGAACACACTGGAGAATGCCTTCCAGCACACACCCAGGGGAGGAGTGTACACACAGTACTTCCAGAATAGTGCATAGGCCAGAGCTGGGATACTCCAAGTCCATTCCTTGCAGAACCCCCATCCCAGCTGAATGACCAGACTGCCTGGCTGTTCTGGGTTGAGAATTTCATCT